GTCTATTAAAAAGCTACACAATTTTGGAGTGACAGCTTTCCACATATGTTAGTCACTTAAGCCTATCAATTAAAGCTAAAATCTTTAACTCTTTAGTTACAGCTTTAATCATTCAAACCTATCAATTAAGGCTAAACTCTTAAACACCCAAGTTCTCCTAGCATTCCCCGTTAGTTTCTAATGGTCTTATTTCTATAAGATTAGTTTACAAACTAAAAAACCTAAGATACAAAAGCTACATAATTTTGAAAGAATGGCAGGCTTCTGCCTCAGAGTCCTCCCCTCTAGAATACCCACAGAAGAATAACCCTGCCACCCTCTGCCAAGCCAGCCAGATCCTAGGCTGTGTCTGAATTTCCTTCCCATCCAAAATACTGTCTGCTGGGAAATGCAGGCAGCTGCGGAATGATCATCCAGGTATCCTTGAGGAAGAAGAGCCTGAGAACCAGTTTCTGCCCTCTTTTTTTTTAAATCTTCTGTCCCATAATTCCATGCACTCTGGAGGCAGTCCGCTTCTCAGCCAACCCTGTCTTAGACTGTTTACCATTGCCTCAGACAACCTCCTCCTATGACCCCTCCTAACTCCTCCCCAGTGATATGATCAGATCTCTCTGTATCGATTCCCCCCTTTAACATTTCTGGACCTTTGCAATCTTACAAAGGCAAATAGATGAAGGTCTCATTCTTTTGTAGTTACTTTCTCCTAGCCGTGGATGCAGTCCTATCTATCCTCTGGTCCAGAAATCCCCAAGAGAAAGTGGGCATCGAGTGGAGGGAGGCCTTCACACAAGAAAGGAGGATCTTGCAAAGTCCAGGTCAGTTCACTGATCCTGGGAAGTGGTGTGCGAAATATCTAAAGGACAGCATTGCTAGACAAGTTGGCATCCTTGTCATACTCTGGAGATAACAAATTTGGCAAGAGAGTTAGAAAGCACAATCAGAACCATAACCACTAAAGGACAAAGGTACAGACCAGCTGTACAATGTCTTCAACTAAGAAAGAGTCGCTTTCTTGGAGGAAGGTGTGCAAAGCGTGTCGCACCTGTCCAAAGCCCTTTTGCCCACTACACTTAACTCAGGATGAGGGGAAATATTCTAGAATTCTCCCCTTTAACACTTTTGGGCCCTTGCTGTCCAAACCTTTGGAACAGAATATGAAAGCAGTTTTAAGCAAAGCCGACAGACCACCCCATATTTCACCAAGTCAATCACTCAGTCCGATCAAGCCGTAGAGTCTGTGGATGTGGCGATGCAGATGGGCTTCTCAAAAGAGGCCTATAATGTGTAAACAGTCACTAAGGTAATGAGATCATAGGCATATGCCCTACAAAAACAGAAGCAACAACACACAGGTTAATTCACACAATAACCCATAAACCAGTCTTTGAGTCCATGAGGCTACCTTTCAAGAAGACACTCAGTTGCATTAATACCATTCTTTTGCTGGGATAATATTAAACAATGACAATCTGACAAATTCTTCTTGCCCATAAATTGAACATCTCTGATGATGTCACAAATACAGCTTAATTTCCATGTGAAAACAAAACTTTGAAGACAGTTAGCTGCACTAGACCAATGTCCATCACTGAGCACTATGATTTTCCTTATAATACAATTTTTCTCCTTAAGATCACTCTCAATATCCTCAAAAGGACTACATTAAGTCCAGTTTTAATTTTTGCCTGTTCATTTGTATAAATACAAGAAGAGAAACAATCAATCACACAGGATTTTTTAAGTCTATTTTGCTGGACCTCACACAAGGAAACTTTAGACTGACCTTAGTCCACCCTTCAGGGCACAGAAGCCAAGCCATGCACCTGCTATCCAGCACTGCCTGCAGTACCTGCTTCCCTCAAGTCCTTGAGGTCCCTGTAGTGTTTTAAGGTTCCTCTTTGCCATCTTGCAGGAAAGCAACCTTCATTCCTTCCCTGGGAAGACTGCCACGGACCACATGACTAGACACAGAACCAGGCCATTTCTACAGTGGGCTTTTGCTAGCTTCTTCGAAAGTCAATTCTAGTTCCTCAAAGTTTCCTGGTAACAACCAGAGCCCCAGTATGCTTCCTTCAGGCATGACCTTCCAATCAAAATCTTGGTTGACAAAACCACCATTGCCAATCAGTCTTATTGATTTACTGCAAGGAAAACATATGTCATCACTCACTCCTACAGAATGCCAAATTCTGGAGGGATCAACTAGAGAGAAAAATACAACTCGTGAAGGAAAACCCTTGTTTTTCTAATATCCACCAAAATTTCATTTCTATTCCTTTTACCTTTCATTGTTTACTTTCCATTTGATGTGAAGTTTTAACTCTCCCTGACAAACCTCAATTTCCTTTTGGAACAGAAACAAGCAAAATCCGAAGCAAAAACAGAGTTCCAAAAGAAGAAAGGGAACTAGAACTAGCCTTAGAATCTTGTCTCATTTCCCACCGGTCCCACTAACTGGCCACACAGTCAACCTTTCCTAGGTCCCAAATGGCCCAAAGCCTCACTGGTAGAGGCACTCGATCGCCTACCAGTGCATCCATTGGTCCCTTTGCAGAGACATACCCTCTTACCACCTAGTCTCATGTCAGAGACATGCTCTCTTGCCCCAAGCCAGATTTCACCAGCACCAAATGACTCTTCCTAGGTCCCAAATGACAAAGGCATTCTGTCCAACCAGTTTCATAGATGACCTCTCCTAGATCCCAAAGGCCAAACAGAAGAGACAGAGGATTCCTGATGTACCCAAAACAGTAAATTTTAAGCCATATCCCCATAAAATCAAAAACAAAGAAACCAAGCAAGCAAAAAATAACCATATCCAAGAGTGAGATTTCTTTTCCTACAGGTTTAAAACTTTCACAACCTCCTATATGCCTTTACTCATTTAGATTTAGCCATAACTCACCTACTGGGTGAGCCTTGTTTCCCTACTGGGAAGGACCACATTCTAATTCAGTATCTGGCAACTAAAAGTCTCTAGCTTACAAGCACAGGAATAAAGTAAAAGAAACAATGTCACCCTGTATTAGGGTTCACTGTTCTTTTCTGGAAGAGAAATTTCAAATCTGCAGGAGTACAGGTCCAGCTTTCCCTTTCAGCATCAAACGCAGCTGCAGGGTCTGTGTTGTCAGGTGGTACCCATTTTATCCGTGTGTAGTGGATCCGGGGCTTGATTCCTATTAGCTTTAGGGAAGAATGCGTTGTCAACAGTACATCACAGGGACCTGTCCATTGTTTTGGCTAGCTGCTGTTCAGGGCCTTGAGTCTTCTAGGTCTTTCATCTGTCTTTGAGTGTGATTAGTACAAACAGCATTATTGTATTTCAGTCATCTGTTTCCCTCAGTAGGGTGATTTAAGCTATTTACCAACTGTTTGGGGAAAAGTGTAAACAATTACTCTTCAGTGTCCTTGGTTTAGCAAAGATAGAATTTTGCAATTTACTAGATGGCTGTGAATTGCTTGGCCAATTAACAATCTACTTAGTTTTCCTATTCCACTTGTTCTGGCTTACTGGCTTGTCTCATATTTATACAACTGATACAAGCACATGAATAAATCTGAAAAATATTTTTCTAACCAAGTAAGCCAGGCACAAGAAAATACATACTATATGATTTCATATATACAAAATTCTAGAAAAGTCAAACCTAATCTATTCTATTTTTCTTTTTTCTAGTTTCAGGCAATCCCTTCCCCAATGGCCCTTCTCCCTATAATATGCACATTGATTGGCACCTATGGGGTCTTTTCTCCTTCCTTTAGGGTCCGGCCTCTTCTTCTGGTTTCACCGTACTATTTCTAAGAACACCATGGCCTGCTTTATCTTCCTTGCTTCCTAGTCATTGTAAACTTTAAAGACTATGACTACCAGCTGAGAGAGACGCATTCCCAATGTCCTACCTAACTTCTGAAATTCGTTCTAAGATCTGGGGCACTTTGCCCAATAAATGTCACGTTCACCATCCACAGATTCTCTGGTGCCTGTGGATCAGCATCACTGTGCTTCTTATAGGCCTGATTGATCCTCTTTAAAAATTCAGAAGAGTCCCCATCTGGTCTTTGTTGAACAGCCAGCATCACATTCAGGCCCTCTTGTTTGGGCACCCCCTTCTAAAGCCCCTCCAGTACACACTTTCTGTAATGTTTCAGGAAGGTTAAGTCACCACCATTTGGGTTCCAGTTAGGCTCTGTCAAGAGAACTGCCCCAGCTGGGTCAGGGGTCCTATTGAGATGCTCTTGGTGGTGATGTTGGGCCTCTTCATTATCCCTATTTATAACCAGCCATCTCTCATCTTCAGTTAATAGGATATTTAGGGGAGCCTGTCCACCTGCCTGGCTCTTCAAACCCTGAATAATTTTCTAGATAACCAACAATTAACTTTCAGAGTCCATAATTTGGTTCTGGTCTAGCTCCCAAGGTACCAGTAATCTGGCCATTTGTCTGATGCATTTGGACAAAAAACCAAAAGACTTTAAGTTTAAGAGATCAAAAACAAAACCCAAACACCATTTCAACTTTGAAGAGAATATATAATCAATACATGTGGATACACAGATACATACAAAGGTTGGAACCTCACCAGTAGTCAGAAAAATATGTATTAAAAATAGTAAGTTTTTTCATGAAAGTTTGCATATACAAAAAAGACAAATCATGTTCAGTGTTGGTTAGTGAAATTTACATAAGACTTCCAGATAAATTTACATATAACTTTATATGACCTTTTTGAACAGCAATTTGGCATTATCAACATTTAAAATGTGCATGTTTTCATCTAACAATTTCATGTGTAGATATCCATACAAAAAAAGTGCTCCCACATATCTACCAAAAAAAAAATCACAAGAACTTTCTTTTTGTAGTATTGTTAGTAAAAGCGGAAGGAAGGAAAGAAGAAAAAAAATGTCCATTTTTATTTGTCTTCAAGTAAAATCAAAGGTCTAAAATACCAAATTTTCAACAAGAATCTTAAAAGCTAAACAAATTAACAGAAACTTACCTCAAAAAGAAAGAGGATGGAGTCCAGCTCCTCCCTTTGTGACTTATTATTGCCTGGAATATTAAAAAAGATATTTATCATACAATGTATAAATTTTAGGATATTAAAAACTTATGTGAAAAAATGTCTTAAAATATTAAAAGCCTCAACATACATTTATTTATTCAAATAATACTGGGAGGTAGTGTGGAACCCATGTCAGGAATGCAGATGGACTAACAACCTAGGCTCCACATCTAGCACAGCTGCAGCTTGCTAACTGTTTAAAACACAGCTTCCATATTTCCCAAGTTGTTAACAACTCATGATAGGTAATTTATTCATTTCTCAATTAGTTACTTAAGAGGTCAAATTATGATACAATGCATAGCAAAAAAAAGAAAAAGTTCTAATTTTATGATATGAAGAGGCACAGAATAGTAATAACCATAAAAAGTCACATATATCTTTAAGTAATTGCACACTGCTTTTTTGGTAAGAATAATAATAAAAATTCTAACACCTACAACAGCAGTTCCATATATTGTCCAGTCTGTGTACCAAGCACTGTGCTAAGTTCTTAGCATATATCATCTAACTTAGGAAATCAGCAAAAATTTTCTGTAAAGGTCCAGATAATAAATATTTTAGGCTTTTCAAGCCTCTCTTAAACCACTAGACTCTGCTGTTATAGTGCAAAGGCAGCCATAGACAATACATAAATAAATGGGTATGGCTTTGTCCAATAAATCTTGACTTATAAAAACAAGCAGCAAGCTGTAAGTTGTAGATGCCTCATCTAACTGAATCTTCACAGCTCTATGAAGTAGGTATCCTTCATTCACTGAACAAATACCAAAGAATGTCTCTATATCGGGGATTATTCCAGGAAGTAAGAATACAGAAATGAATAAAACACAACCCTGAGGAGGCTTGCATTCTGGCAGGAGGAAGCATTCAAAAAAATAAGTGAGAAAACCAATAGGAAAGGCAGATGAGGAATGCCCAAAAGGGTGGTATGCAATTTTGACTAGTGAAGTCAGGTAACACCATCCTAATAAGTTACACGTGTGCAAAGATATAAACGAGGTTAAGGAACAAACCACATGAAAATTTGGGGGTAAGAAAATGAGCCATATGGAAATTTGGGGAAAACATTTTCTGGGTAGAATGACTGAACAGTGCAAAGTACTATGGCTGAGCAGGTTTGGCATGGTCAGGAATGAAGGTAACTGCAAGAAGGCCCTTGCATCTGGAGCAAAAAGGGAGAATTGCAGTAGGTGGATGGGGTAAAAGAAGGCAGGTAGGGTCTGAAGCTATTGTAATGACTTAAGGAATGGGAAGCAATCTGAGGGTCTGGAGAGCTGGGAGTCATAATCTGACTCGCATGTTTTAAGAATCACTCCAGCTGCTCTTTTGAAGAGACTATGGTAGGGATTAAAGAGGAAGAGGAGAGCACAATGATCCAGGTAAGAATAATGGGAGCTCCAGCATTTCCAGCATAGGCAATGAGAAGAAGCCAATGATTCTGGATGTATTTTGAATGCAGAGTCAACACAGGATCTGGTCTGAAAAGTGAAAGGCTGAAGGTATCCTAAGATGAGTTCATTATTCCTAATAAACATTTCCCTTGATTCTTTTGTTTTAGTGTACTTTCTTCTCTTCAAAACACAGTTGTACCAAAATCAAGAATCTTCAAAATCTCACCCTGTTTTTATTGGTTCTTTGTAATGATTCTCTGCAATAGATTGTAAAAATGGAGAGAGTTTTTCCCTTCCCATCAGAAGATGTCTATTTCTCCATCCCTTGAATCTGAGATACCATGTGACTTGCTCTGGCCAATGCCAGATATAAGCAAATGTGAGGAAAGCACAGACTTGAAAAAAATCTTCCTCAGCTTGGAACCCTAAGACACCATCCGAAGGAGCCCAAGATAGCCTATTAGCTGGAGAAGAGGGGCAACATGGAGGAGAACTAAAGCACCCTGGTCAATAGCTTACTAGTAACCATAAGACATGTGAATGAGGCCATCCACCACCAGCTAATATCAAAGGCATGAGCTAGCTTAAACCAGAAGAACCACACAACAGACCCATAAAATAATAGCTAAATGACTAGCTATTGTTTTACAGCACTCAGTTGTGGAATGGTTTGCTATGCAGCACAAACTAACTGATACAATCCTAAACAGCTATATTTTTCTAAAAATACAGAGGAAGAAAAAGGAGGAGGAGTAAGGAAGGGAGGACCCTTTAAAAATGGGATTTTTAGGTTGTAAGGATTTTTTTTTAAATATGGGGCTTTAATTTTTTTTCTTTGCTATTTTGATTGCATGTAACATCACACTATTCTCCTCCACACACCTATAAAAGGAAAGTGAATTGGAGCAAAGCTAAAAAGCAAAATAATTAGATGAATTCATATTTGAAATATCTACTGATTTGGAAAAAAATTTTAATTTCAAGATTTGTATCAATTTATAAATCACAAGGGAAAAAACAGAGCCACTCATAAAAAAAAAAAAGAACAAACACTTGTTGGCATTATGGGCACATGCCCATGTATAATGACCTACTAGAGGCCTGGAGCATTCTGTAAGACTGAGCCATCTGCTATATGTCAGAAACCACCACACTGTCTTGCCACGTCCTCTTCCAACCATGTTGTCTGACAAGGTCCGGGCATAGAGGATTCGAGTTCAAGGAATTCGTCTCCCCAGAAGAGAACGTGGCATCCAAAATGGGTTAACAATTGGCTATTTTATTTTACTTATTTTACTCTTGCTACTGAATACAGACATTGAACTGTACTTACTTATTCCTGTGAAAGTCACCCAAGAGGAGGGAACAGTTCAGGGGAAAACATCAGTATTCCCCATGAAACTGCCTGAAAGGATGGAAAAATCTCCAGATTCACCTTCTCCCTTATACAGGGGGATACAACAGCCAGGTTAACCATAAGGGAAAACATGTCGAGTTGTGTAAATCACCCTGGTTCGAGCAACTTAAAGCGATCAGGACCGCCATAGTGTACCAGAAATAAGAAAAACAAGTTACATGTTTGTTTGGGTGATCAAAACGTGGTGGGATTGTTAGACATTTATATTTCAGGTTCATTGATTCGCATAATTCCAATGAAGTTGTACAAAATAATTTCTTGACCAGAGCACAAAGTTCCCTCTAATGAAATAGTCCCTGAATGTTTAAAAGTTGTTGGAGTAACAGCCCCTCCTTTACCTTGAATAAGAATATATATCAATTGGACAGGCAAAGAAATTAAAAAAGGGCTGGTTAACTACTACAAACTAAACATGTAGAAACAGTTACTAGAGAGTCAGTTTATAGCACACAGAGAAACATTTTAGACAGAAAAGGATAGATAGCTAAGTTAGACATCACAAAGGCCTTATAATAAATTTCCTATTACCTCTACTCAATCTAGCGTATCCTTTTGACCCATGATAAATTCTGAGAAACTTTAATATACAATTAAGACATTCATATGCTGTACATACAGCTATTTTTAATTGTCTGATTTATGGCTCTCCTGGTCAAAAGAATCTTTGTTTATTATAACTGAATCTATGGGAATTTTCATATTTTTCCTGGTTACCTTTGTACTGATTTTTTCCTGTTTAACTGATCATGCTATACTGCAAATGTTAATCACTACCTAAAATGAAAATATAAAAACCTGCTTATACTTGCAATAAACAGAACAGAGCTTCACTGTCCTTTGAGGTGTGATGTCGTCTGTTACCCATCGCCGATGCCTTACCCACCTTCGGAACCCCTGGACCCTGCTGTGGCTGGACCGGGGCACTGCCTCACCCCAAATTCCCTGACCCAGTCTCAACCCACTTCCCCATTACCTTTCACCATCAGTTATCTTTCTTTCCTCAGCCTGAAAACAAGCAATGCATCCTTTAAAACCTTCCCATGACCAAGCTACCCCTTGAGATACAATCCTCTGTTTTCATCATTACGCTTTCAAAAGCAGTATTCTCACATGTAACCTTCTTGGTCTCACCACACAGTTACTCCATTTCTTCTGTCCAGATTCTGACTGCACTACTCAGCTAGAACTTTTCTTTCACTAGTCAATGCCAACCTCCTCGGGGCACTATCATTTCGTAGTCCAGTTGCTACTCACCTTTTTTGCATCAACAGGCACTGTTGATCTTTCATTCTTTGAAATTCTCTCTTCTCTGGGCACCTGTGACCGAACACTTCCTCCTCTCACCCATTACTCCTTTACCTTTCCTCTTTGCCAAATAAAAGAAGGAATTACCCCAAATCCCTGACTGCCACTCTTTCTCTGTATATACTTTGCTCCTTGACAACAGCATGACTGCACCTCTCCCCCAAACTCCAGTCCCTGTATTTTTACTGCCCAGCCAGAACATACACCTGGCTGCCCTATAGGACACTTCATGGATATAAGAAAAAGGGATATAAGAAGGAGAAATCAAAGATGCATGCAGGATGTTAAGTCTAGTTCATAAGCTGCCATTACAGCAGTGGGGAAACCCTGGGTTAGGGTTAGGAAAGCCAGGTTTGGAAGGTAAAAGGATGAGTGTAGCTCTGGGAAGTCTAAGTTTGAAGTACAGGAAAATCTGAACATTTGAAAAAAATGTATGTCAAAAAATTGCAGAAATGCTTACCTTTTAATTTTAGACTATTTTCCAGTGTTATAAAATTTTCATAGAAGATGAAATATATCTGAGAATAGTTGGTCTCAAAAAACTGCTTAAGTTCACTTGCATCCACATTATCTGAAAGAAAAAGTTTTTACTTATGACAATAACCTTATACAATCATCAGAATTCACAACTTTTCAGAAATGAAAGTAAAAACTAATTTTATCCCTTCATAAGACAAAATTTTAAAAAATAGTATTCCATCCATTTATTCCCTATTAACAGAGCTCTGAATGGGCTTAAAGCACCCTCCCCCAAAGCCGACCCCTGCAGGAGACTGGAGTCAAGGAGATTAGAGCCATATGGGCACAGCATTTACAGACCAACCAGAAGGTCTGAACTAAGTGAGGGACTAGGGAAGGAAAAGATGACTTCCTGTTAGGGGAAGGTAAAGTATTCATGGCTTTTGACATAGGCCATTAGAGGGATAGGTTTGCACATCTGAAAAACAACTTTGCTGGTACAGTCATGGCCCAGTCTGTCCCCTCCCTCTACTGACATAAAACTAGCTAGAGAAACCTAGCAGGTGAGCTTCCCACCACACCCACCCATTTCCGTCTAGGCCACTGATCAACACCTTCCCTCCACCTTTTAGGTGACCTGTCCCCTTACTGTTTGGATGTTAGTGAAACCCTCCACAAGTTCCTAGAGGTGCCTTGAGTAGTGTTTCTCCCTGCTGCACCAGCTGTATAGGGAACTTAGCCCAGCAATATCTCTATCTGGGGCCAAACCAGTAACACAGCCACTTCTAACAGGGGCCCCATCATCCCTCACAACTCCGATCAGAGAAGTTATCCACTGTCAACATACCTTTGCAGGTTTCCCTTAGCAAACAAGATTGTTTGTGCCATTTACAACAGGGTCCTGATAAGGTGTTATCTCTTTGGATATTATACTAATAACCTTAGGAAAATGAAAAACAGCTTCCTTAAAATTACACAATGGGGAAAAATGTATTGCTATTCAATCTACAATAGAATGGCATCAATTACTTCTGGGGTCCTAAAACTGGGAATATATGTGAACACACCCATTACTATGCTTAAATTTGATATAGTTAAAACTATTGCTGGTACATCTAAAGAACTGTTTTCCTCTCATGACTGTATAGAGCCTTTCATGCAAAAAGTTAACCTGGTTCTTTGAAACAATGCACATAAGCTGCTTTTTAAGTCATGTAAGTTGCCAATTTCACATCCTGTTTCCTGCCGCAAAATAAAACTTAGCACAGGGCAATGAAAGTTCCTAGACTAACAAGTTAACCTAAGTGAGAGAAACAATGAAACTAGTATCATTAATCATATGAATATTATCATTCTAATGAGTTGTACAAACTTGCCAAAGTACAATCTTGCCACTCAGTCCTTGACTATCTTCTGTACAATGTGCCAGTTCCATTAAAGGTTTTATCTATTTTCACTCCAATATAAGCTGCTATCCTGCCCACCACCACCTGTTCCCTCTAAAGCACCTCGCCTGGCCAGCTCCTACTCACCACTCACTGGTCAGCTGAAACATCCCCAGCCCACCCCAAGACTAGGTTAGTGCCTCTGCTACATGTCCCATCGCTGTCTTCTTTCCCTATCATAGAACATATGCTACTTTACTTATTTCCTGATGAATTCCTGAATTGATTCTGATTAAATGATCTTTCTTAGAAATATTCCCTACACTCATAGAACTCTCAGTCTATCTATCATACGTCATTATGTCCTCTGCATCCAGCACAGTATTTAGTTCACTATTTTCTAGAATGAATTAGATGACAGAAACAGACTATAACAGACAATAACAGGAAATGACCATAACACGTAAGGCCACAAGGAGAAAAAAAGCCTAACCCTCCTCAAATCCTTCTGTCAATCAAGAAAAACAATTTTTAAAGGTTTTATTTATTTAGTTTTAGAGAGAGGGGAAGGGAAGGAGAAAGAGAAGTAGAAAAACATCACATGTGGTTGACATGGCCCCCACTGGGGACCTGGCCTGCAAACCAGGAATGTGCCCTGACTGGAAATCGAACCTGCAAACCTCTGGTTCACAGCCCACGCTCAATCCACTGAGCTACACCAGCCAGTGCTCAAGTGAAAAATGTTATCCCTCTGCTGAGGACTCCTTATTTCTACCTGTAGCCCAGACATACCCCTTCTACGCCTCCCTCTCCCACAAGCTCATAGCCTGCCACCAGCTGGATTTCTCCACATGAAGGTCTAAAGGACTTCTCCAATTAAACATGCCCAAAGGAAACTTTTCTTTGCCCCTCATATTCTGATCTGCCCTCAGAGACCACCATCCACCCAGCAGCTCAAGGCAACACTTAAACATCATTCTTGCTTCTCAGTCCTTCACAGCATCATTTCCAGGGTGTTAGTTCCACCTCAAAAATGTCCCAGCCCTGGACCTCTTCTCACCCTTCACAGCCTTGCCTGGTATACATCATCATAAATCCTCACCGGGGCAATAATGTTGGCTGCCTGGGCTCACTACATCAACTCTTTACGTCTATAATCCACTATCCACACTGCAGCCAAGAAGAAAATGTCACACTGAAAATCAAATCAAACAATTCCTTTCCAAAAAACACCTTCCAAAGGGCTGCAAGTAGTACTTAAATTCCAAATTCTTTTTTTCTTTTTATTTTCTATTACTTTTTTCCAAATTTCTCTTGCTTTGTAAGAAATTATTGTTCAAGTAGAGTTGTCTCCATTTTCTCCCAACCACTCCCCACCACCCCAGCCATCTCCACCTCCCACCCTCAATCCTATCCCCCTTTGCCTTTGTCCATGTGTCCTCTATTACTCTTTCTTGATGACCCTACCCCCTTTTGCCCCCATCATACCCTCCCCACCACCCCTCTAGTTACTGTCACTTTGTTCTTTATTTCAATATCTCTGATTACATTTGGCTTGCCTGTTTGTTTTGTTAATTAGGTTCCACTTATAGGTGAGATCATATGGTTATTTGTCTTTCACCACCTGGCTTATTTCACTTAGCCTAATGCTCTCCAGATCCATCCATTCTGTCCTGAAGGATAGGAGCTCCTTTCTTTCTACTATGTACATAGTATTCCATTGTGTAAATGTACCATAGTTTTTGGTTCCACGCATTTACTGATGGATACTTAGGTTGCTTCCAAAACTTGGCCATTGTAAATTTTGCTGCTATGAACATTGTGGTGCATAAGTTCTTCTGAGTTGGTGTTTCAGGATTCTTATGGTATAATACCAGCAGTGGAATTGCCAAGTCAAAAGGCAGTTCCATTAGTTCCATTTTTCATTTTCTGAGGAAATCCCATTCCACAGTGGCTGTACCAGTCTGCATTCCTACCAACAGTACTAGGGTTCCCTATTCTCCACAATGTTGCCAACACTTATTTGTGGATTTGGTTATGATGGCCATTCTGACCAGTGTGAAGTGGAATCTCACTGAGGTTTTAATTTACATCTGATGGCTAGTGATGCTGAGTATCCTTTCATGTGTCTCTAGGCCGTCTATATGGCCTCTGTACAGAGAAGTATCTGTTCAGATCCTTTGCCCATTTTTTAGTTGGTTTGTTTGTCTTACCAGGAGGTATTCTGCTCTACCCTATGGGGCGTAAGCCTCACTGCTGAGTGCAGAGTGACTAGATTAACAAATGAAAATGTCCACAGACAGTAGATCCCTGGCAGTCTCAGAGCAGGCTACCTAAGGTCAGATGGGGTCAACATCTGACATCACCAGACACAGATCCAGAAAGAAAAAACAGTGATAAATACTAGAGGCTACCGAGATAAAATCCACTGTGGTCTTCTACATGATTAGTGGTATTTATTTTCTTGTATAGCTTTTTAACACTCATTTCTTGTCCAGCAAATTTGTGCATATGAAGTCACTATATATTGTACTAAAATTTATTGATCTCTTTTCTTATAATAGTCATACTCTCCTTACACCTTTATAAAACTTGTTCATTGATGTTTGATAGTGGGATTGAGGGGGGAGGTATTTTTGTAGATGTGGGCTTATACCATGGGCTTTGTGGTTTTGTTCTAGCAGCACCTGCACAGCAGCATATGTGGTGGGTGGAGTGACCTTCAGTCAACCAGCTAGAGGGAAGGAGCCACCAAAGAACAACACAACAATAATCAAAACACAGTTACATCCAGAGAACCAACATAAATGGCATAAAGGGCATCCCAAGAGCATCAAGTTCAGGAGATCAAGGAGACTGCACAACTGAATCTCACAGGTCTCCTACCATACAAGTTCACACCACAAACTGAATGAATCAAACAGATCCACTTAAGAAGCAGAAGCAAACAAGAAAAGTCTCACAAATAATGGGAAGACAAAGAAACATCCCCCAATTGAAAGGAAAGGAGGAATCCTCAGAAAGAATGCTAAATGAAATAGAGGCTACTCAACTATCAAATAGTTCAAAACAATGGTTATAAGGAAGCTGAGATATCAGTGAGAATTACCAACAACCACAGGGAAGCTACAAAGAATTTACTGTGATTAGACCAGCATTAAAAAAGGACATAGAACAATCAACAAGGGCTAAAAGAAAATGAAGAGTACAATTTCTTTTTTTTTCCCAGTGTGGATTTTCATATATTTTCTTTCAAGGGATTTTTAAAAATGTATATCATTGATTATGCCATTACAGTTGTCCCATTCCCCCCCCTTCATTCTCCTCCACCCTGCGTACTCCCTCCAACCCACACTACCCCACTTTAGTTCATGTCCATGTGTCATAAGTTCTTTACCTTCTACATTTCCCACACTACTCTTACCCTCCCCCTATTTTCTCCCCACCATCTATGCTACTTATTCTCTGTACCTTCTCCACCCTCTCCCTCCCAATCCCCTGTTGCTAACCTTCATGTGATCTCCATTTCTGTGGCTCTATTCCTGATCCAGCTGTCCACTTAGTTTGCTTTTGTTTTAGGTGTGGTTATTAATAACTGTGAGTTTGCGGTCCTTTCACTGTTCATATTTTTATCTTCTTTTTCTTAGATAAGTCCCTTCAACATTTCATAAAATATGGGCTTGGTGATGATGAACTCCTTTAACTTGACCTAATCTGAGAAGCGCTT